CAAACAATCCTTTCTAAAGAAGAACAAGAGTGTGAAGATCATTTTTGTAACAGCCACTCAAGAAACTCATCGGGGAGATATGTACTTCGTCTTCCCTTCAAGGAGTCACCGGAGGCCATAGGAGATTCTCGACCTGCTGCCTCTCGAATGCTGTCTAGCATGATAAGACGCTTCTCATGTGATCACAAGTTAAAATGTCTATACTCTGACTTTTTAAGGGAATATGAGTCGCTGGGTCATATGGCACGCGTACCAGAAAGCATCCCTGAACCACAACAGTATTACTACTCGCCACATCACGGCGTTCTTAAAGAATCTAGCAGTTCTACTAAGCTGCGAGTTGTTTTTAATGGGTCATGTCGCACAAGTAGTGGTTGTTCTCTGAATGATCTCCATCACATCGGTGCCAAGCTGCAGACAGACTTATCCGATGTGATTTTCTGGTGGCGACAATTTTCGTACGTCTTTTCAACCGACATGGAGAAGATGTTTCAGCGTTTTCAGAGAATTCTTTGGCCACCAGAATCATTTCAGAAGCCTTTAACATATCAGTTGGCCACTGTTACTTACGGACTTGGTCCAGCACCCTTCTTAGCAAATCGCGTAATTAAGCAATTAACCAAAGATGAAGGACATCGCTTTCCCCTCGCAACAGATGTTTTACTACGTGGGACTTACGTGGATGATTGCTTTGGCGGAGCGGATTCCCCTCAAGATGCAAAGGAGGTGATTCAACAGCTAGACAACCTTTGCAAATCAGGTGGTTTCAACCTACTTAAATGGACAGCGAATGATTCAACGATCTTGGCTGATCTCTCAATCACGCGTCATGCCTCTTCAACATCAAGATTCCTCGATGGGAGTCCCCTATTTAGAACGTTAGGTATTATATGGAATCCTGTCTCTGATGCCTTTGTGTTTTTGACAATAAATACCGAAAACGATACAACGCCCACTAAAAGAAAAGTACTCTCACTCATTGCGCAGCTTTTCAACCCACTAGGATGGTTTGCACCCATTACAGTACGCACCAAAATTTTCATGCAAGAACTTTGGCTTACAAAACTCAACTGGGATGATCAACTTCCCGATTCGCTCTCCCAACGCTGGAATCAGTTCTTAAATCAACTTCAAGATATCTCTCACATCTCCATTCCTCGTTGGATCGGAACCTCTGCAAACATGCTCACTTTGGAAATACATGGCTTTTCCGATGCCTCTCGAGACGCTATGGCAGCTGTTGTTTATCTTCGTGTACTTAACAAAACGAATGATGCTACAATTTCTCTCATTACAGCAAAAACAAAAGTTGCCCCAATCAAGAAAATGACGATTCCTAGGCTTGAACTTTGCGCTGCAACTCTACTTACAAAACAAGTGGCTCACCTTGGAGAAGTGCTAAATATATCGCAAGCACCAATCCATTTATGGACTGATTCGTCAGTAACTCTCGCCTGGATTCAAGCTCATCCATCACGGTGGAAAGATTATGTTCGAAATCGTGTTGCCACTATCCAAGAAACTCTACCTCAAGCAACATGGCATCACATCTCTGGTAAGGAGAATCCTGCAAACTGCGCCTCTCGAGGTGTGTCACTTGATCAACTAGAAAAAGACTGTCTATGGTGGACTGGACCAAAATGGCTTTCTCAACATCCTTCTTTATGGCCGTCATGCGGTTACAAGCGTGAGCATGATGTCGACCTTGAAAAAAAACTTCAGGTCATTGCTGTTGTCTCTCCTTAAAACCCGAAGATCTGGAATCTCGTTGAACGTTACTCAAATCTTACTAAATTACTGAGAATCACAGCGCTATGCCAACGTGCGATTAAAATACTGCAAAGGAAAGCTGAAATACCCAAACAATCATCTTTAACGCCAACTGAGCTTGAAACGGCTCGACTTTATTGGGTGAAGCTAACTCAACAGGCTTATTTCTCAAAGGAGATCTTAACGCTCTCCCAAAATCGCATTTTATCAAATACAAACCCTCTTAACAAATTAATTCCATTTATAGATGCCTCAGGTATGCTTCGAGTTGGCGGGCGGCTCGGAAACGCTCTCCTCGATCCTGATACAAAACACCCCGTAATTTTACCTCGCGAATCACCACTGACAACTCTAATCATAAGCAATGCGCATCATAAAACTCTTCATGGAGGAACACAAGTTACCTTAGACTATCTGCGAAGATCATACTGGATTATTGGAGGTAGATCTCCTGTGCGATCATTCATTTTACGCTGCGTTCGCTGTGCTCGATATCGCGCTGTCACCGCCCAACAACTCATGGGACAGCTACCACCAACCCGAATCACACCAGCAAGACCATTTTTAATTTCTGGCGTAGATTATGCTGGCCCGTTTACTTTAAAAACTTCAAGAGCAAGAGCTGCGAAAACGTATAAGGGGTATATTGTGCTTTTTGTATGCTTTGCTACCTCAGCTATTCACCTCGAAATCGCGACAGACTACTCTTCAGAAGGTTTTTTGGCAGCTTATAAAAGATTCACTGGGCGCCGAGGAATCTGCGCAACTCTTCATAGTGACTGCGGTACTAATCTGATAGGCGCTGACGCCGAGCTGCGGAAACTCTTTTCGCGGGCATCAAATGAGTTATCTAACCTCGCCTCCTTACTAGCAAATGATGGAACCGAATGGAGATTTAACCCACCTGCAGCTCCACACTTCGGCGGAAAATGGGAAGCTGGCGTGAAGTCGGTCAAGTTCCATTTAAAACGTATCATTGGAGACACCTCTCTTACTTATGAAGAATTTTCCACTCTACCGACCGTTATGCCCACTATCCGATGATCCAAACGACATCAATGCGTTAACACCAGGGCATTTTCTCATCGGCTCAGCACTCACCACTGTGCCAGAGCCATCATTGATAGACATTGCAGTCTCACGACTTTCTCGATGGCAATTGCTTAGGCAAATGCTTGAGCACTTTTGGCATCGTTAGTCTTCGGAATACATTCAACGCTTTTATTCAATATCTAAGTGGAAGCAGGCAACAGATCCAATAAAGAAGGGAGCGCTTGTGCTGCTTGTGGATGAAAGATTTCCTCCAGCGAAATGGCTGCTTGGCCGTATCATCGATACACATCCTGGAAATGATGGACATATTCGCGTAGTAACTGTCAGAACAAAGGATTGAACGCTAAAGCGTCCAGTAGTTAAACTGTGCCCGCTTCCAGTACTGGCTACAAGCTCAACATTATCGACTGCTTAATCTAATTTAAGTTATATATTTCGTCCCCTGTAAGGTGACAAGGCGGGCGGAATGTTTAGACAAAAAATCATATTGCAAAAATACAACACTTTAATTTACTAATAATTTCTTGATGTAAGTTCGTCAACTTAAATTTATAATAGAAAAATACTAAATTGTATTATTTGGCAACACTGTAAACTTAACGATAAGATTTCATTTCTTTGCTATTCTCTCTTTATATACTTTTCGCCAATTGTCAGTTCGTTGTATTATCTTTTTTGAGAATGAATGGTTTTTTTTCTCTCATGTACAAGTCGGTAAAATCTTTAAATTTAAAATAAAACTAATTGAATTTTTAATGAAAAAGAACTCGTCCGATTTATTTAAGAATCATCGCTCAAAACAAATACATTTTTGTGAAATCCTTTTCGTGCACTTCTTTTTCTTAACTAAAATTTTCTAATTTATAAAGGCTATTCAACTGGTTTATCTTATTTTATCATTGCACTTTTGTTTGGGAAATATAGCTTTATTTTATTGCGAAACGTGAATGATTAAAAGGAATGACACCTGTTTTGGCACTTTTGTTTTTCTATTTGGCACATTTTGGCACTTTTTTATCCTCAATATGGCACCTCATAACTAAGGATAGTTGCCAGCCCTAATTGGAAGATTTCTTCTGTGTTTTGGGGCAACAACTTGTCTGCAGTAAAAAAGCATATAATTTGTGTTTCAAAAGTGTGTGAAAACCAATCAATTAACTTATATGATCTCGGTTCCGATATTAAATAATCAATAATCGTTGAATGTGCCATCTAATAAATAGTGTCGTCATTCTCCTTAGCTGGTTTTAAATGATGTCACAAATTGCTGGCGGAGACATGAATACAGTGTAAGAAAATTCTTTTTCCATAATTGTTTCCTTATAGAAAAGTTGGTTTCTTTTCCACCTTAGACATTCCGAATTCGTTCAAAATATGCTAATTTAAAACACAGAATTCTTTCAGTGTTCCTCCGGTGATTTTGGACATGGACTGTTTCTTCAATTTAATAGTGTTGGATTTATTTTTGAGGAAACGAAACATGTTTTGCAAGCTATGGATCATTTCTTCACTCTTTCTTCAAATATTTCTCGTATTCCAGCTGTGTGCAGGCGTTTAGTTTTTCGCATCGAGTTTTTACATATTCGTAATTTAATTTTTTTTTAATAAAATTTGGCAATAACCTTTTTCATCTATTATAAAACAACACTTACGGGGCATTGTTTATTGTAAGAACAAAATTTTTTTCTATGAACCGACATACTTTAAGCATTGTTGACGCTATTTCCATTTGAATGAGGAAATAGCGTCAATGACTTCATTTCCAAATTTTTGTTGACTTTATTTCGCTTTTGAAAAGGTAATAATGTCAATTGACTTTATTTCGCACGAGCCGAAACTTAACGTAACTTAATGCCACGTCGAAATCTGAAAAGTTTGTGCAAAGTTTCACATCGAGCACTTTAATTTGATGTATAATTTGTCTCTGTACGACTTGTACATCGCTGGGAATAAACGCCTTGCTTCAGAAGTAATGCTGGTTTGCTGCCTTGAAGAAGCTCTGTTATAGAGAGGAATTCGCTAAAGACGCGTTCAACAAGAGACAAGTTCAAATGTCTGACAAAATATAGAAGTGTCTTCGAAAAAAGGTCGCTATAGCGTAGTTCGCTATACATACAAGCTACCGATTGTATTTTATGGTATGTGATATTCATATCTTAATGTACTAAATTACTCACCATTCAAACTGCTCTGAGGCGTTGCGCTGATATGATAGAAAACAATATTTATGTGCAAAACTAGGCATAGGAATGATTGCAATCGAATGGTATTCGCTGTTAGACTTATCATGCTGTCGGTTTTGACGTTTTCTCCTAAATTTGCCACACCACATCCATATTTAGTATATCCGTTTCATGGCCGTTGCTCTCGAAACTGCAAAAATAAAATTTCGATTTACATAAATATTTACATTAAAAACACTGCAACAAAATGAGACGAATAAAAACAGATACGAATAAGGTATGGCAATTATGAAAGCGGAAGAGCTCTAGCATATTAGACCACCTACCATTTTGTCCCTAAACGTCACAATTTTTTACAGTGCATTTCATATTGGCTAATTTCGTCGCAAGTTAAAAGGTGTTCGCTCGCAGGGTTGCACGAGAAAAAAGTTAAATGGCTAAATGTTGACTGGCGACCAACTTTGTTGAAAGCGATTAGTTGAAAGGCCGTACAACCAAAAGTAGAATACAGAGTTGAACAATGAAACGCCTTTTTATGACGAATATTTTTATATTTTTTTTTTTTTTTTTTTTTTTTTTGATATTTTTAGCCATCAATTTTTTTCGTGCAACCCTGCTTGAGTTGAACTCAAAAGTTGCCTGAAAAGTCGCCTCGTGCGAAAGCCTCATTAGTCTAAATAAGGCCGTGGTTATGCTACCAATTTTAATTGGCAATCAAAAGAGAAAAATGTTGGTGATTGGTGAGAAGTGGTTACGCTCTGTTTGCTGATTGGGGAGCACAGGGTTGCTTCTTTTTCCATTTCATACAATTTCGCACACAATGGCAGCACTGAAGTAAAAATGCAACTAAACATGCATCAAAATTTAAGTCGGAAAATGAAAAATGGAAGAACAACTTAATATTTTTTCTTTCTTTAATATTTAATTTTTATAATAATATTTTTTTTTTAATATCTACTTTATAATAATAATGAAAAAATATTTTTTACTATTCTAGTATTTAATACTAATACTTTTTCGCAAAATAGCGTATTGACACCCTGAAAAATTGGCGTGCTGGCTGTTCGGTTTACCCAGCAAATCGTGCTGGCTGTTCGATTTCGAAAATTCTCTCACTCCGTGCTGCACAACAATTGCACGGTGATTGCCAATCGAAATTGGTGGCGTAATCACGGCCTAAGGAGTTAGCAAAAGTAAAACTGTGACTGTGTTGGTGAGCACAGGAGCATGAGCAGCCCGGTATGAAATTGGTTGAGTTGAAAAAAAAATGGCGTAACCATCTTTCCTTTTGATATGGATGGCTCTGTTCTCTCTCATCTTAGCAAGAAACTGTTTCTAAGATGCCTATGACAGACAAAACTTAAAAATCTATTGTAAACTTAATAAAACTGTATTTTAAGGAGAAGGGGATTTAATTTACGACTATGACTATGGGCCAAAATATTTACTATTTATAAATTTTTTATTATTTATCAGGAAGTAGGGATGGGGAGTAACATCGATACATCGATGTTTCGATGCATCGGAATCGATGCTAAAATACATCGCCAGAAAAACATGGATATATCTATGGTTTCCGATGTTTCAAACTTTGTTAGCTGAAGTCACATTAAAAGGAAAATTTAATACATTTAAATTCAAACTCTCTGTAATTCAATTAGAATTACATATGGATGTATTTCCCTGTATTTATTTACCATTCCTTTACCCTTCCTATGAATAGAATAGAAATGCATTCCGTCGTAAGTTCGCTGAGTCTAAAATTCCAAGGCACAATTTCGATGAAATTTCAACGGGATCCAGGTTCTTTTTTAATGACGAAGTAAGCATTTTTAATATCGAAAGATAAGACTAAACTCGGAATTTCTGAATGTTCCTCAAAAGAATCTATACCAACGGTGGGCAAACGCGGCTCTTTGAGTCAAATGCGGATATTTGCTTAGCAAAGTGCGGCTCCTTTTACTTTCTCTTTGCTTAGAACATTTTGGCCCATTTTACTTTTTTAAAATACAAGTTTCTTTGATGGACATTCTTTTCCACTGTGTTGCTTTTTTATTTTGTTCTTTTTTATACACATACACTGTCGGCCGCTGTGGTGTAGTGGTAAGCAGTGCGCGCTTCCACTCCGCAGCACCTGGGTTCAAGCCCTGGTCAAAGCAACATCGCAAAAAAATTTAGAAAAAACGTTTGTTCTTAACAGCGGTCGTCCCTCGGCAGGCAATGGCAAATCTCCGAGTGTATTTATGCCATGAAAAACAGCTTCTCATAAAAATACAATCGCCGTTCGGAGTCGGCGTAGAACTGTAGGTCCCTCCGCTTTGTGTGACAACGTCAAGGCGCACGCCACAATTTGGAGCAAAAGCTCGGCCAAACACTAACATATGTGTAAGCGCCAATCTATTATTATATTATTATATATACACATACGCAAATTGAGATCGGAACATTACCCGCAATTGAAGAAAGAAAATTGGCTTTCTGACTTAATGCTCTTTACCAACATAATTGATCATTTGCAAAACTCGAATTTGTCTCTACGAGGTGAGAATAAAAATGTTTTTGATTTGTCGCAAATTATTTTAAGTTTTGAAGCTAAACCACGTCTTTTTATTCATGATCTCAAAAAAGTTATATTTAATCATTTTCCATTGCTAGAAAAAAAATATTGCGCATGATTTAAAAGCAGATTGTCAAAAAAGATTTGCCGATTTGATATTATTTAAATGTACGTTTACATACTTAATAAACCCTTTTTTATAACGCTTTTATCAACTTGCAATGTTGTATGTCCAGACCACCATACTATAAATATAGCAAAGGTATTTATGGAAAACCTAGTCTAGATATCAACCTCGCCGTAGGTATCATATCAAAGACATACAATTAGAAAATCTCCAGAGATAGATGTCGCCTCGCCAGAAGAAGTTAAAAATATGCACTACATACGCTACAGGAAATGGACGACACGCCATTTCTTTAAATGAAATTAATTGCTGCTATATGTATGTATGTACATATGTAGGCATATACTAAATGTGAACAAACAACATTTTGCTTGCATAGTCTTCTATTCTCTTTTCACTGCAAGTTGAATTATTTTAGTATCTATTGCAAAATTTTATACAGACAAGACTAAAAAGTATAAAAAAATTTAAAAAACAAAAAAAAATTTTAATGTACCACGCTTTTATAAATGGACTAATTTTAGAAAATAATATTTCTCAGTCCCATAGAACTTAGTTGCGTTCGATAACAAAATTAGCCAACACTAGCCAACAATCAAAATCAAGAGAGTAAGCGAAAATTCTCTCCCAAAGAGATGAAAAAGCAAAAAAGTAAACGAACAGGAAATTAGCCATTACTTGCAAAAACCGGAAGAAGAAGACACACCAGCTGACTTTGTTTATGTTTTATTTGTAAACAAACTGAAATCCATGTTGTCTCCATAGAAGGAAAAAGGAAAGTGAACGTTCAATGTTCCCAGAAACATTTTTAGAAGTAAAAACTAGTTGGCGCTATCATAAAGTCACATAGCAGGCAGCCTAAAGCATATAAATACCAAAACCCGGAAAATGCAATTTTGCTTGTTTACAAAAATTGCAACCATATGTTTTGTGATCATATGTTTTCGTGTTGGATAATTTTTGCTGACTAAAATTTTGCCTGTACAAAATGAACGCTTCTCTGGCATCAAAATGAACGCTTGCTCTCTCAATTTTTGAGTGTTGGATAATTTTTTGTCGTTATCGAACGCCATCCAGTAAAAATTTGGAAAAACTATTACAAATTTTTGACTTGTCGAACGCACCTCTTGTTTTGATAACTTTTGATTATGAAATTTTAGCAAAAGTCATTATGAACAATTTATGAGATTGAAAATTAAAAGCGTGGGGCGCATGTAATAGGCCTGATTTGAAATTGAAGAGTAATATACATATGTATGTATGTGGGTATATTAATAACGACCGCTTAAAATCGATCTCAAATTTGTACTTTCGCTGTAGAAATTTTAGGTCTATGTTATGTATGTAGTTTGAATATTGTCAATTAAATCTAATGCTTTGTATTGCATGCGCCCCTCGTTTTTCGATTTCAATCTCATAAATTGTTTATAATGACTTTTGCTAAAATTTCAAAATCAAAAGTTATCAAAACTAATTCTATGGGACTGAGATATATTATTATTTTACAACGCTTTTATCAACTTTTNAAAACACTTTTTTCGCAAAATCTCTAAAGGGCCCTTTTATTTATCAAACAAACCGGGGTAACAGTTATTCGTCGCCACGCTGTAATTTTGTTTTTTTTTTTTCAATACCATACTCAAACAAAGCAACTGAGAGTATCTTAATTAGCTGCATTTTTTTTTTAGCGAGCGACAAAAGAACGCTCAACTCGGGTAAAATTTCCTTTTAGCTACTTAAGCAACCCTGTTGGTAGCTGGCAAGAAAATGTGATTAGTTTAACGGGATTTAGACACAAAAAGCAATTGAAATTAGTAATTATGCCAGGTATTTGCGTAATATATATACTCTTTTAAAATATAAGTCACGTATAAAAGAAGCAAAAATTTTGCTATCCACTTTCCCATTAACAATTCACAATAGAGCAGTTTTTTCACTTACCAACACTA